TAAGATGCTTCTGAATGAAATCAAGTCATATTTGGGCAGATATCCCCTTTGAATGACAGCATGTGGGCTTTAATACATTTTTTGCAAGTCAAAATGGCTATTTTGTGTTGTAATGGTCCTTTAAAAGAGTTCCAAGCTGTTTTGTGAGCTCAGATCTTTAAATCATGCATCTCCTGAAGGAAATCTAGTCATATTTAGGTAGAAATAACCTTTGAGTGACTATACTGTGCCTTCAATCAATTTTTGACAGGTGAAAACCGATTGAAAACTGCAAAACAAATAGAAACATGGGAAACTCGTTCTATATACGGCCAGATCAGATAAGAAACGATGCAGAGTCACGAGGATCGTTGCAAAAGTTATCATATCTTAATCGAAAACCCTCCAGTGAATCATATTTATTGTAGTGTAGTCTCCAATGTCAGGGCTACACAAAGTCATCAGACCGAGTATAGAAACATGTCTGTCACGTAACTGCCGTTATGTGACAAACGTTAAGCTTTCGAATCTTTAATTAGGCCTATATTATAATTTAATAAGGCCTATATTATAATGCAACTGTGTGTATCTGCATGTCATGACCGTTTAATCCAGAGAAAAGCAAGTTTACGGTATCGCTCAGCAGCTGCGGTGCGCGCTCCCGCGAGCTTAATCAGATTCTCGCAAACATTCACTTTTTCGCACAACACCGGCCACTCCAAAAAACCGTTGAGGGGCCGCCTACAGGTTTCCTCATTTCCCTTTTTTGTTTTTTTGTTTTTGACAGTGTCGGTTGAGTAATAGTCGTTTGTGGCATTCTTTGCTTCAGTTCCTGATTTTCTTGTCTGAAACGCGGGGCTGGGGATGAAACGGCAGCTCTGTCTGTGTTAGTAGCCTTCTTTAGTGTTGGTTTATTATGCTTGTATGTTGGTTTTTTATCTTGTACAGTTTAGTATCGGAAACCTCAAATGCCTTCAAATGACAGATTAGTGGGCGCCTGGTCATAGGAGGAAAATGACAACTCTCTTTGGACCGTTTATTATTGCGTTCATCTCTATTTGTAAAGGTAAGTGAAGCTGATAAAACGCGAATAACCTTCTTCAGAAATGCCGATGGTTCATTTGGGAAACGGTTTCACTTTCATATTAATTATTTAAACTGAAAATACTCAGGATATAGCGTTGGTCTTTTTAGCAGCTTGTCGTTTGGATTAATAAAGGACCATTGCTGAAAATTTCCAAAGTAATCCAAATATACACGTGTATGTGCATTTGTCTTCTTACATCAGTTTGCAGGATTTGTTCTTTAGAAATAGATTTTAAGAATTCTTCAGATTTAGACATAGATTTACTCTAATTTTTCACTTACTTTCATTTCTTTTACAAAATCTGTAAAACCTTCTTCTACAACAGAACATTTACAAACCCCAAAAATGCTGCACCCCCTTGTGTTGATGGAAAAATCTGTTATTTTCTTTCATTTTGTATTTATTTTTATGTTTACTGATGTTTCTTTGCTTTTTATTTTTTGGACATTTGATCATAAATCAGAGTCTTCCACTGTGTAAGAGAAAGTGAAAAATACTCTAAACGTATAAGATGTCCATGAGTAGTGAATGCAGAGTTGTGAGATGTGCCATAGTCACTTAGGAAATATTGAAACAGTAAAAGTAGATGGCCCATTTGGTTGTTTTTTGTCACATGTCTTACCAAAGTTCCAGATCTATTTCAGGGCCTCAGACTTTAGAGAAGTTATGGATGACTTCTGTGTCAATGTACAATGATGTTAAAGAAGTATGCTTTTAACCAGATGTCTACCAGATGCATGTTTATTAAAAACAGATTGACTATTTCATAACCCTGTATAGACTTCTACTCTGTTTATATGTGGATATTGGTCTTGTAATAAAGTCTGATGGTATGTACTGATTAGTAATAGACCAAACACCTCTTGTTCTGACAAATGATGACAAATAGATTATTTTTAACTCAAACAAAAAATGCAAGAAAGACCCAAATAAGGAGTAATTTGTAGCCATGTCTTCGTCAGGCATTTCATTTTAAAAACCCAGACAAGGTGTTGGCTTAAAGCAGCTTACTGTGCGTTCATGTTCTTAGATGTGAATCATCCCAGTGAGTGCTCTAAAGGTAAACCTAATAACTGCAGAAAAATTATACTCATTTTAAATAATTCATCTTCTTTCTTATTTTATTTTTATCCAACTGTCGAGTATCAAACAATCTGCTTTTTAGATTTTTCAGTCTGAAAACGGTATTGATTAAAACTAAAGGATATCTTTTCCTGCAGGTCAGCATCACATGACCTGCAACGTTTTCCCTAAAGATCAGTACATCCAAGAGGGATCCAGTGCTGGGATATTCTGCCAGACTTCCTGCGTGAACAGCAACATCTACTGGACACTGAACAACAACAACAACGTTAAGGAAAGCCTGTCAAGTACCATCAACTCCACACACACATATCTGGTACTGAGAAACGTCACTTCTCCCCTTGTGACACTGCAGTGCCACGATGCTCATACCAAGCAGGTCCTCGGAGGCACCACCATAAGAACATATTGTAAGAAACAGTTTCATTAAATTCTGTTCACTAACATGACATTTGATGCCTGTGGAGAGTAAATAATTATCTCTTAACTATGTGTTTTTCCAGCAAAGCCCATAAAAATAGCATGTATCTTGTTTTACAATGGTCCAGAGAACGTTGGTTTGAATCTGAATTTTACATGCAAATGGGAGCATCGGACCAATTCCTCATCGAAAATACGCTACACTGTACTTTTGTAAGTTCAGTATCTTCTTCATTTTGTCCCCCAAAAAAAGAAAAAAAATATTTGGGTCACTAATTTTACCAAATGTTCTTTTCTCCAGGTCCTCCCATAAAGAAAGGGAAAAGAGGGAGGTCTGCAAATCAACCAAAGCAACAGAGTGCTCATTTGAGGACATAGTATTATTCACTAAAATGTTGCAAAAAGAAAACAGTCAAGAAAACAATAATTTTACTATTACTATTAGAGCTAGAACTGATGCTTGGGAAGTTGACTCGGACCCTTACGAATTTAACCCTCACCACATATGTAAGTACCCTCACTTTGCACACTACAAACCTCTTTGGATATGTAAAGAGGCGGGACACATCCTGGACAGGTGACCAGCCCATTGCCTACATGTTGTTCAATGACATCAATTCTGTCTCCCCAGGGAAAATGAACTTACCGACTGTAGCGATAACTGCTGGCTCTGATCAACTGTTGGTGGAGTGGACCGTATCACCAGAGTCCAACGAGTCTCTTTGCCAAATTAAATACTACATGGTAGGTATGAAGACCATTTGAAAATATTAAAAGAGACTGTACCATCGTATAACCCCAAATTACTATTTTTAAATGGTCAGGAAGGCTTGAGGTGAAAAATAAAATTAAAATGACAGCTTTAGCCGAGATACTTTTATTAGATCATTTCCTAGCTTTATAGGCAAAGTTGTGGCAAGCATCACAGAATAAATGTGGGGAAGAACGAGAGATTTTGACATCTCTTCTGAAATGTAGACACTGTGTGCTGCTACGAGCAAAAAACGTCATATTAATAGATATCTTTTATTCGCTTAAAAGTTTTGATTCTGCTGCTGCTTTGGGAAAAAAAACACTCCTGATTGACTGGGACCATTTGTTGTTCTCTTTTTCTGTTCAAGGTTTCATTATCCAATGAAGACACACCAAAGGTAATGAAAAACATTGTTTTCTTGTTTTGTTTATTTCAGAAAAAATGTTGATTGAATGAATAATGGTGTTTGACGATCAGTGAGTTCAATAAAAGGTTAAAATAATCCTCAAAACTGAGCACCCCATATTTCCCCTTTGTTTCCACAATAGTTTGTCACTGAGACTTCAAAAGAGTATGGGAACGCCAGCATTAAAGAAGTGGAATCCTGCACAAATTATAGCATTTCGGTCCGATGCGCCTTTCTGGAAGCACCATGGAGCAACTGGAGCCCAGAGAAGACGGTTCTGACCAGACTTAACAGTAAGAGCAGCACTGTCTTAAAACGCTCTGCAAGAATCTGACAGTTTGGACATTCTATTGACCAAATGATTTGAATCACAAAGTACAAATCCTGCTTTTTAAAACTAGATGATTTTTCTACATTTCTTTTAAGTACCTTAGTCTATGATAAAAACAAAGTAAAGCAAATCAAAACAGTGGTAGCAACTCGATGAGCTCATTGAGCTCTTTTGAAATCAAAATCTGACTCATTGTGGAAAACAGTGACACATTATATAAAGCCAAAACCAACAAAACCACATTATTGTTTTCAGCGTAGCGGAACGAAGAGAATATGATTGATGATGGAATAATTTATGCTGAAATGCTTAAGATCAACCTTTTTGCTGTTGGAGATCTATGGGAAGTGTTAATAGTCACTGTCAAACAGTGGTTACACAAGATATGAACCATATATCAGTGGTTTGATTTGAATGAAATCATTAAAAAACAATTGATTGACTGCATTGCTTTTCAAAAAATCATGCATCTAGTTTCAAAGCATTCGATTTGTATTTACTGGGGACTGTGAGAAAGTTTGAAGTTGATTCATGAGAGTGAAATCTGACTCATTTAAGCTGCAGGTTGGGACCTGAAAATGAAAAATGTCCAAAGCCAGTTACAGTTTAATCATATTAAACACCCACTGACTTTGATTAAAAAAGACTGTTCTTTTGACATGTGTTCTCTCACTTTCAGAGAAACATTTCAGGCTCCACTTGTGGAGAAAGGTGTCTGATCTGGGAGAAAATGGAAAGAGAAAAGTCTGTGTCATGTGGAAGGTGAGGGGGCATCTTCCTTATCTTTACGATAGCAATTTCCTCAAATTTTTCGCATTTAATTGTAAAGTTGTTGGTTCTTTCTGTGTATAATATTCTTCCACAGGGTATTCCCTCTACATGTCGAGAGACCTTTACCTACACTATCTCACTGACCTCTCAGATGAAGTGGAATTATACTTCATGTAGAAGCTCGGCTTGTGATGTTGATCTGGACCATCGTGCACACAGACTTAATCTTACAGTTTCCCATAATGGAATTGTTTTTGCGGAGCAGTCAATTTACATTCCAGCCGTGGAAGAGAGTGAGTTTTATTGCTATCGATCTTTTTAGCAAGAAACTTCAACCATTATGCTCAGATGCATGACTTTTTTTTTCGGTCTATGCAGTTTTAGCTCCATGTCTCATTCTCCCATTAGCAGGCCTCCCTAAAGTAACCGACATCCAAACCTCAGCTGATGAAGGCGTCATTGAGGTGAGCTGGAACGGACCTCCTCAGCCTGTTAGCACTTACGTTATTGACTGGACCCACGATGGAAGTCAATACTACTGGAGGGAGACCAAATTCGCCAATGCAACTCTCAAGGGTAGGTCAGAGAGTCAGAGTTTTAAAACAGTTCATGGTGTCAGATAGTTAAATAAATAAGCCATTACAACCTGGAACAAATTATTATCAGATAGTAGCAGCAGACATGGATACCAATGGATAGCGGATCAGTTAGTGGCTCGTCTTTAATTGATGGGAGAAGCAAGAAGAAATGGAATCATTAGTAGATGTTAAAAGCTGCTGGGTAATGCATTTCCCGGAAAACACAAGGCTTTCGAGAACTGTGACTCAGGCTATGCTCTGATCTACTTGATTGAGGGAGCTCAAGCAAAGAGACTTAAGAGCAATAATTGTTTCAGATGATCTCATCACGTGTGTGAAGTGGTACAACAGTCAGACTTTCCATCTGCCAATGTGTTGCCTATAAAGAAGTTATTTTCTGCTGAGTTAGAAACAAAGTGCTATAAGAATCCCAGATATGTCCACATGTCTCAAAGTTTGAGTAGGGGAGAAGTACTAGTGCGTTTAATATCTTTGAAAATATGATTTGTCCGGAACACAAAATGCAATGAATACGCCCAGATGGTATAATGTTGACTTCAGAAATGTAGTGTCTCCCACCTTTACAGTACAGCCCTTTTGATGGACATATTTATGTAACTAAAACAGTTGAATAAAGCCTGGTCTCAGGTTAAGGTTGGGGTCATCAAAGGTTTGGGTTTTGCATATCCACCAAAGTAAAATGGAGTTGAATTGAGTTTTTTAAGGATCATATTTATTTTGTGAAAACTATGACATTTTCTTCCCCTCTTCTCCCTTAAGACCTCCTGGATGGAAAGCCTTATAACATCACAGTAACTCCCCTCCTCGGTGATAAGACGGGTCAGAGCGAGCAGGCTGTTCAGATATGCAGCCGAGTCGGAGGTGCACTTTTCAACCGTCGCTCTCATGAGTCTGAAGCTGTATCGTCTTCATCATGTTTTAACCCCCGTTGTTTGATTGGTGTTCTATCAGTTCCAGGGCATACGACCATCACAAATGTACAGGCTTACGACAAAAGCACCTTCGTCAGCTGGGAAACGCAGTCAGAAGGTGCATGCAGTGGTCCTGTTCTCAGCTATACGGTCTTTTATGAGGCACACAACAGAACGCTCAGTAAGTTCACCATGTACTTGTTGGACTTTTGCCATTTTCTCTCAACTCCAGATTCTTACTCATTTTCCCGATGAATTTCTCATAGATGTTACCGTGGATGGCAAAATTCACAGCATCTTTTTGAAAGATCTGATCCCGAACACGCCATACATTCTCTATGTGGAAGGAAAGGGCCACACCGGAAATACCAGAAGTAGACAAATGTTCTTTAATACCATGAGATTTGGTGAGTCATCTTTGAGGACTTCATTAAATGAACTGCACATGTTTCCACGTTTCTGCAAGTGAAACTGAACCTCCTGACAACCAGGAATTTGTTTACTTCCCCCTCTATTCGGCAACAGGATATCAAGGACATAAACTCTCATTGAACAAGGGACACAAAGTGTAACTGTTCAGTTTCACACAGTTGTCACCCTCTAATGGCACTGAAAGGTCAAAAAGACACAGCCTCTTTTATCCTAGCTGTGGAACACACAGAAATACACGAAGACTATTCAGATCTTGAGCTGTACTCAACAATTTTGCTCTAGACACTTTTCTGATTTTGAAAAAGACATGATCTCTTTTTGAAAAGCCTGCGAAACAGCAAACACTTCACCTCTCCCTGAAACACGAAAAAGCCATTTTAAAGTGGAAAAACCTCTCTTGAATCCATAAAAAACCATCAAAATCCGTTTTTCAGTCAAATAAGGAAAGAGCCCACAGAGTTTGGTGTACAGCCAAGATAGACCAAAGGATTCTGGTTCTTGACGGCTTGTAAAGACAAATTTGGAGGGGATATAAACACTAATACACTGGTCCATTGATTGCTCATTGGCTTGTTTGGCAAACCTAAACAAAAGGAAAGGCTGTCAGGAAGTCAACCAGGCAAAGGAGTTCTTAAGAAAAAAAATTGAATCCGAAACAGTGTCATTTGTAGATAGACAATAATACAAAACATTGTGTTGCTCAGTTCCAGCTTGCTGGTTGAGTGATTTGATTGACTGACACCGAGGATTACTGAGTCAGTTATGCACACATTCTTTCTACACGCTTTGAGATCGTTTGCGCAACGTTTAAGAGCCACTCCAGTTCACCTAAAAGGGACATTTCTAAATCAGGTTAATGTGAAGCAACGTGGTCGGCTCAGGTACACGCACAATGGTCTGAGAAATGAACAAAGCAACATTTTTGAGATGCCATTTTATGGTAAAAGCATCCTCTCAACGCAGTCCGTATCGGAGCACCACACGTCACCTCATGGGCTGACACATACAGAGTAATTATCGGATTTTTGAGAATTGATTTGTCTTGAATGGCAAACAAAAGTGTCTCTTTTTTTGCCATTGTGAGCGGTTTGTTAGCCCTGAACAGATGAGCAGACATTAGGTCATTCAGCACTCGTGTTCAGGAAAAAGAGTTAAAGCTTGAGCTTGTTAAAGGCTTCTGGAACACTGAAGTGTTGTTGGTATGTCAAACTGCTTTGTGGCACGTATCAATAACATCAAACCACGTTAACATCCTCTGTGCCTCCAACAGATCCGAGGCTCCTCGCAGTGCTCAGCATTGTTGGAAGCATCCTTATCCTTTTTGTGTTGGGTCTTGGATTGTGCTGCGTCGTTCAGTAAGTTTCAGCCTTTGTTCTTTAAGGCCAACACTCATGAAGGGCGTTTCACTGCCGTTATTGGAATGCTTTCATATTCATTTCATGAGAAATACCGCCAACTGATGTTCCCAATCTTTTAATCTGATTTTAGGTGGAAGAAATGTGGCGAGAAGCCGCTGCCAAATCCAGGCCTCAGCTCTGTGGCGACGTGGCTGTCGCAAAGTCAAGAGAAGGTAAACAGCAGAAAGCTTATTAAAATGCGTTTGGTTTTGTGTCTTTTTTTAGCTCTAGTTCGATTGCCCTGTCTCCCTGTAGATGCTGATTTGCACAGTATTCAAGTACAGTATTAAACATTTGCAGAAAAAATATATGTCAACAAGTAGAAACTTTCGTCAATGGTAATGGCCTCTATAGTAATATGTTAGGAGAGGTAACTTTAGTTAGTTCTTTTGTCATTACATTTATATCAGTTAGGATTTATGCCCTGAACAGGACATGATGTCTTATATTTTTGTCTTTTTCTGCACTTTCTATGTGTTTTAGGACACAAGCGTCTTCCAGGCGTTCAGTAATCCATCCCAAGATCTGATTGAACAAGTCTTCACAGAGGAAGCTGATGAACCACCCCTCCCCTCACCAGCTGTAGATGGTGATGACAATGTAGCCAGCAATGAAACACAGGAATACTCTGCCTCAGCCATGCCTCTGCCAGTCAGTCAAGACGTGCAGAAAAATGCGCCGGACGAACATGGAACTCCCTTTGAACCTTTTGGGGAATCCACAGTATTCCTTTCCACAGAAGCCATTCCCATCAGCCCATATCGTAGTCAGACTTCTCTCCAAGCCCCTGTGCAGAAAATCTCAAAACAGCATAAGCAGGTTTCATGCAAACAGTCGGAAAAAATATTACTCAAGTCTGTATATGTCAGGCTGAACATGTTTGAACCAGAAGATGTCAGGTGAGGCCGTTGGAAATAATTTGGCTTCAAGCAAAATGACTAAGCCTTGCATCACTCCGGTGAAAAAGGATTCTGGAATATGAATTAGTATGCTAGGAAACAATGCTGTTTATTGCATGCATTGGAATCCTTATTCCAAACATTTACAACACTGCGCAAAACCTTTTCAGCAGTATTTCATTTTCTTCCAAGAAGCCATATTTTCTGTTAATATTTTTAAATGCTCCAAGGATAAAGGATCTGGAGGATTTTCAAACATTTTCTTTCAACATTGCCTGTTGTCGCAATCTCTTTTACGTCACTTTTTGACACCATTTTTATAGAAATATTTTAACCACAAAACACTAAGGTGTGACAAAAGACTCAAAAAGTGGACTGAAAGCCGGCGGCACCGTTTGCATCATAGCCAGGAGCCAGACATCAGCGTGACTGAAGCAGTGTTGGACCGTTTGGACAGAGAATGGAAATAGAGATAGCCGACGTCCAAAGAAGAACTCTGCGGTGTCCTTTTTGAGAAAATTTGAGAACTGTTTCCGAAAGCTTGTCTAGGAGAGTTCGGGCTGTGCTGTGGAATCAAGATGCTATAAAACAGACTTTCAAGCTTGGAAGAATCTAACAAAACTTTGCTTTGTGTGTTGCACTCACACTTAGGTTTGCACGTTTCAGAAAAATTGCTGCACCCATTTCCTCACAGTATCTAAAGAAATAGTGGTGGCTCAAGACTTTTGTGCAATGTCTCAGTTCCTACTCCTAGTCTCAGAACTGCGACACAAACATTCAACTAACATTCAAAGCTGAAGATGTAAAATGTTATATCATTTACCTCCATACTGATGCTGTAATGTGTATTTTTTGGTAATGTACAGATGACAGCATATTCATGCTATTCCTGGGTGTTATTGTGGCACTATTCCCATAAAGCTATTAACGTGTTAAAAAGATGTGCATATTGACATATACTGTGAAAGTGGAATGGAATACATAAGCAGATAAACATGAAATAAAATGGCAATGCATGGAATTCTTTAGGGAGATCATGTAGAACTACATTTGACTTGCAAAAAAAGTAGTAATATGATCTGAATTAAGTTCCATTTTAAACTTCAAGCTTCTTTAATAGCATTAAACAGCAGGTATTTTTTTACTGTGAGGAAAGGGGAGGGTGTCACGGCAACCAAAATGACCATTTTAGTCAATCTAAAACTTTCCTGCATGTACCTGTGTCGGTTGGTGGTGTTGGGTCTTTTAAGTAGTGAGGCTGGGCCACTGTCATCCTTACAAAACTCCAGAAACACCATTTTCAACCATTTTAAAGAAATTGACTTATCATATCAGTGAAAGAAGCAAACATTATCAAAAACGTATCTTAAGAAAAGCCAAAAAGGTGATGCATTAAAAAAAAAAAAAGTCATATCACTCTTATTTATTTGACATAACAGTTCAGCCAAAAACTATGGCTATGGCATAAATGCTGACTATCAACAAAAACAATACTTAAAAATTGTAAAAATGAAATGAATGTGTTTACTGAGACAGCTTATTATTTTTGCATCTGCATAAGTTTGTTGCATCTTTTGTCCTTCGAGAACTTTAAAGACTGGGCTTAGAGTAAATAAAACGTTATTTTCTTTCACATTTGAAACCGTGGAAAAAGAGGACGAATAACTGATATCTAATCAAACAAGTACAGTACATGTCAACTAATAAATTCACGAGTTTACGTGTTAATTACCCATCTCACCCTGAAGGTGGCAGCATAACACAAGCCGTCGTCTGTACTAGAGATATTCACAAGAAGAATAAGGTTAGCAAGTACCTCGGATTTAGCAAAAGCTAGCTAGCCGTATGGTGATTATGGAGGTTATGCTAGGTACCTGCTAACAATCTAGATGTAAGGAAAACTTACAAAAAGATACAGGACAATTTTTTCGGATGCTGGCGTGCAGTGAGTCGTATGAGTCTATGTTTCGTGTGAATGTATTCCGGCCCGTCAAAATGCTGATCGGGCTTGAAGTTGTTGGATAATCCTTATGAATTGGTAGCCAAAGGGCCCCATATCCGCGGTGCTCGGTTGGCGTGCTCCCCGGGACCTGTGGCGTATGAGATAGAGTAATCAAGGCACAGACTAGCTACAGATACAAGGTTTTTAGTCAATATTACAAACCTCTCCCTATCATGTCGCACACTGGACCCCCTCCACGATGGCGCAATTGTCCCAGGAGAGGGCAGCCTGTTGCAGGTGAGCAAAAACATAGTTTTGATTGTTTAAGTTTGCTAATGCTGCTGCTCCTAGCCAGCTGCGCCAAGAGTGATGTATCATGTGTAACACAACATATCGGCAGGAACCTGCTCTTTACTCCAAACGTTAATCACTATCCATTTGTCAAATTCTGAAGTGCTTTAAATAAAAAATAATGTTACGTTGCTGGCTTGACTTCTTGTTAGAGAAACCACGGTGAGCAGTCACGATGGATGGGTTATACCTCTTAAACTCAGTAGTAGGTTGTGCCAAATTGAACCTTTTCACGGGATGTCTATAAGCCTCGTGTGTTTTTTACGTTTTACCAACTTGCATTGCTAGTTTATCGTGAAATGTTCATTTTCTGTTTCTTTATAAACGAAGATTTGCCAGTCAGAATTCGAGCGCGCAATGCACAGCTAATATGGCTCCTGGGGGCTAATGGGCAAATCCCAGCTCAGCTCATCGCCACAAGTAGTGCGTTAGAATTTTATTTTGTTTTTGTTTTTCCGTTTGTCTTGGTCACAAAAGTGGATGTGTTCCAGGTATATTTCTCTGTGTTGGAAAACTTCATTCAAAGTGTCCCTCTGACCACATTTTCGCCGAAGCGTCACGTGTCAAAACAAACCCGGGCTGCAGTGCAGCTCCATGTACACTGGATGCTGTTTGTTTGGTCACATCAGACACAGCCGGATCTTTCTGCTTGCGTTTGCTTTTTTTAGTGCCCATTCTCACGGATGGAGTGTTATTGTGCGAGATTGTAATATTCTGCCACATATAAGCCACATCAGACAACAGTAAATCAAAAGATTATGCCAGTCTATGCTGCTTAGCTTGCTCAATGAGCAGTGTAGATGTCACTGTAGGATGTTTCTGTTTGAGGAAAAACCCAAGACATTGCCATGTCCCGGATCCCTACTTTGCCAAGGCATAAACTTTGTATTTAAGGGCATTGGATTGCACATTGTTGATAAAACATTTCTATTGAATGAGGGTAAAAACAAAACAAAAATATAGGTGTTATGTGACTAAAGGCGAAGCTATGGTCTCTGCTTAATTCCCCAGGTAAATTCCTGCCAATGAAAACAATGCTGGGTCCCAGATATGATGACCAGGTTGCAGAGGAGAACAGATTTCATCCGAGCATGCTGTCCAACTATTTAAAAAGTCTAAAAGTAAGTTACTCGACAAAGACGGACTCGTCTGGTGCATAACTTATGTCTTATTGTGTCCGCTTTATTTCCTTCTAGGTAAAAATGGGTTTGCTTGTGGATTTGACGAACACTACTCGCTTCTATGAGCGTAGCGACATTGAGAAGGAGGGAGTTAAATATGTGAAGCTCCAGTGTAAAGGGTATGAGCAATTTCAGCGTCACAAGCTGATCAAATTGTCCAGACGTTCTATGTTGTCGTACTTTTAGGGATAATGTGCTGAAGACTGTCACTGTCTGCGTTTTAGGCATGGAGAATGCCCCTCAAAGGAAACAACTGGAACGTTCATCAGGCTCTGCGAGGATTTCATTGAGAAGAATCCCACAGAATTAATAGGTAAGAGTTAATGTTTTTAAATTATTTGAATGATTTTTTTAAAGGTTTTGCACATTGGGATATTATTTAATTATGTGTGAAAAAGATAGTGTACTTAAATAATGCCAAATAAATCTAAAACGTTATTCTGTTTTACTAATGCTGTGTTAGATTCTCTTTAGTTCCAGCTGCTTAGGTTCTTTTTTGAGGTTTAGTGCCTAATGTTATGTTTTAATATTTATTTGATCACAAATACATTTTGTAATGGTATTGGGGGCGTGTTTCAGAATGAAAGTGCTTAATATGATAGTTAGTTTATAGCATTAATAGGCAAAAGTTGTTAGCACTAATACATAAGTTGACAACTGGTTTAAATTCTGAAAAATCTGGATGCATTTGTGGAGGATTCAGCTGGACTTCTGGTAGTATTACCTTAAATGTCCAGCAGAGGGCAGCCACACTCCATTTAAAAAGCCAAATGCCTCTGAATGTCCAAATAGTTTCAGTTGTTTTTTGATTTAGACTCTATTTCATGTGTAAATAATTTCACACATATACATTCTAAGCACTGGACGGCCTCCAAAGGTTTTCCCAGGTTTTGTTTGTTTTAGCTGGGGCGTTCATTTCCATTCTTTCACATTCTGGGGAAGCAGCTATGTAGCTGGTTTTAAAAGTGTAGGAGTTTCACATCAGAAACAACACTTCTCTCCCAGTGACTGATGTGTAGGAGCCTAAGGAGCCAAGAAACATCGTCAAGCATTTGAATAAATTAAACCATGACTGTAGAGTGTGGGCAGATTTTCTTTCTTTGCTGTTTAATGTTTATCCACTGTGGTCGCAAATTGCTCAATTTATTTTTTCTTAGATCAAGTCTACTTTAGAATACATGTTTGTTTGAAAATTGCTTTTTCGTGCTGCGGTGTTGAGGCATTGATCAGACGGGGAACAGTGACAGTTTTCTTTTCCTACAAGCATCTGGTTTCTTCTGTAATCTTTCATGAAAACTAAATACTGCTGGAATAATTTGACATTTTTGTGCAATCTGTCGTTTTAAAAGAAGTCGATTGCGGTGCGTTTGATGTAGTTTGGATCCTGGGTTGGTGAAGTGAAGGCAGATACGGGTTCTGCACTTTCCCAAAGGCGGCAGAAGGGCGCGCTGTCGTACCTCACCGGTACGGCCGGCTCTTCTCCTCTAACTCTCACCTGGCTTAGAAACGGGGTCGGAACATTAGAGCAGAACGTGCGAATATCATCTCGGCAGCATTGGGTCCTCATCCAGCCGGTGATGAGGGTTTGTTGGCCCTGCTGAACACATGTCCCAATCACGCAGTTGGCCAGCCATTCTGATCCCCATCTCCTGACATGGACCGATTTCATCTTTGTCTACGATTCTGGTCGCATTTGATTTTAGTGAAGTTTTAACTGTGCTGCAAACTCATGAAAATGCCATTGAGATATTTCTAAAATCTGTCTGGGATCTTTCTAATCCTCCAAGAGGCTACTGGTCTCCACTCATTCCCCGCAATGAGAGAGCTGTATGAATGACAGCAGCCATGCAAGGAGCTCCACCCTTGACATGAATTTGTTCTCTTTTCCTGAAGGTGTTCACTGCACACATGGCTTCAACCGCACCGGTTTCCTCATATCTGCGTACCTGGTGGAGAAGATGGATTGGAGGTGAGGGCTGGAACTGCGATCACTCGTACAGCTGAGAGAAAGAACACTTTGGGAAGTCAAAACCACACAGCACAGAGCGTCTCCAGTGAATTGCTTCATTACCTTGGTTTCATTCTCCCGGCTCTGTCAGTCTTTTTTTAGCCGGCTTTTCTTTCTTTATTTTTTTTTAAGGTTATCCTGTTATCCGCCCGCAGTTGCGGCATGTGTGATGGCAGAAGAGTTTACTCTGTCAGTACCAATCAGCACAAAGCTTTGCACCGAGCCTGGTGGGTCAGCCCTGACCAGGCTTGTCATAGAGATGAATAATTTACAGCAGCTGAACAGGAGGGGGGGGGGGGTCGCATCTTTAGTCGGAGGTGGAAATGCATTCTGAATCTCCGGAGACGTGGGGGCTGGATTAAACCCTCCCACCACCCACTGTTTCCTGTGAAATAAATATTCTGCAGGCATTTATTGCCGTCATTCACAATTATGCGCTGCTAGATAATTCAGTTATCATTTTTTGGGGGGCGGGGGGGTGTTGTTAGAAGTGCCATACACCTACAAATCATCATTATTTTAAATTTCTACCATTCCCTTTATAAATGCACAAAGACCACAGGGAACTTGTTGACTAATAACAGTTTGCTAATGAGGTAGTAATAACATACATAATCATACATTAACAACTGCATGTACAAACGTGTTCATCGATGCTTTTAAGACAAGTTGACAGCATGCGGAAAAACAACACGAAGTCCCAAGAGAGCATGGAACCTTTGTATTTGAAGCAGACGTCAGGCAGCAAACGCACTCCAAATGAGAATTATCCAGTCTGCCAGCACAGTGTAGAACAAAGCTGTTAACATGCCGTCCTTCAAAAGTCCCTCTCAGTGCACGGTTCAGGGTCAGCTCTCCAACTTGATTTAAGTTGGCAAAGTGATTTAGGGAATATTTAGGCACTCAATTACTACTACCCCCCGCCTCCTTAAAGAATTTTTTTTTTTTTAAAGCTATAGGGAACGTGTGAGCTTAAAGTAGAGGAACTGCAGTTCTTAATATGCGAAACCGCCTTTTCTCAGGAGCTCTAACATATTTTTTTTAACAGGTGTCGGCTTCTTTAGTCATCTCACTTCATCTTTTAAGCTGATATAAAGGGCTGGAATTAATTCGGAGTGTGACATTTCCATTTGCAAGCCGTCCCCATTGAAACCCACGACATGTGGTCAAACACACTCTGGGTGAATGCGAAACAGGCCACGGGGTTCAAAAACAAAATAATCCATCAAAGCGCTAGTCAGAAGCAGACTGTTGCGCCATATGGTTTGTTGCTCAGAACAGTCTGGAAACCTTCCCTGGAAGCTGCTGGGACGAGGGGAAGAACTTTAAAAAAAAAAAAAAACTTGGCAGGTGACAGGATGAGTGATGTGTCTGTCACATGCTGTCAGTCCAGCGTCACCCAATCAGATCGACAGAGCAGATGGTTAATCAAACTCCTGCCGGAGCCGATTGATAGAGGAGCAGAAATATGGCCTCTGCTGTGAAAAGCCTTCAGCTTCTAGTTTTGCTCTTCTGTGAGTGATAAATTAAACTCCGGCTGAGTATTAGCTGAAGCTACGCAGCACCCAAACTTCCTCCATCATTAACTGGCTGTACAGGATGCGGTTTGGCTCAGGTTGTTGTTTTTTTAGGGTTTTTTTTCTCACAGTGCTGCCTACCTATAAAGAAAAAGCAGGAAATCGTCAAACTAACAAAAATCTGAAGTTCAGAAACACTCCTATAACTCTCCAGTGTAGCTTTTTTTATGTATTCATTCCAGAGATATTTTCCCGCCGTAGTTAAATTCGAATGAAAAAGAAACCTAGCCAGACTGCAGCCTTTTTGAAGCTCTGCCCTCCTTCTTAGCGTGGAGGCGGCCGTGGCCGCTTTTGCCCAGGCCCGGGCCCCGGGAATCTACAAGGGAGACTACCTCAAAGAGCTCTTTCGTCGCTACGGCGACGAGGAGGACACGCCTCCGCCCCCCCCGCTGCCCGAGTGGTGCTTCGACGATGACGACGGGGAGGTGGACGACGACGGCAACGCGGTCAGCCAGGAGTCGGGCCCCAGCTCCTCGGGGTCAGCGCCCGGCAAAAGGAGGAAAGAGAAGCTAAAACTGGTAAGGGGAAAAAAACAGGGAAATGAAGGATCTACAGGAAAACGGTTCCTCCTTTGTTTAAACACTCGTGTTCAGTTGTGAATAATAATCCGAAATTGACACTTTCAATATTCTTTACCGGTGCTTTGATTAAATAAAAGCGGTCTCCTTGCCCTTATGAAAAGCTGTCATCACCACTATTTGGTTAAATTAGAAGTGTTGAGCCATTTCCAGCTGCTTAATGAACAGGTTTTTCTTTCTGCTTCCACTTATTTTCAGCGTAGTGTGAGTACAACAGTGATGCTGCTCGCGCTGAGAGAAAATAAAAACGTATCCGCCAGAGTGAAACACAGATTACAGCGATAGAACTTGAGTTTATCTCTTTTATTGCGCACGGAGCTTACTGGAATCCAGTCTCAAGGCAGCTCTAATGGGGAATGTAGTACAGCAGAGAGCGGCTCGTGCTGGCAGCAGCACCGGACTGTCACTAAGGAATACCAGTCTGCAGCTACTCGACTGTTTCGAGGCGAAAACATCTTAAATTGACCGTTGGAGTGTTAAAGTGAAAAGGAGAAACACTCAACGCTAATTTCTGCAAGCGGATGAAGTAATCAAGCGGTTCTCAAACATTTCAAATTAAATACTTGAAACTTTTGCTAATGAAGTAACTAAGTCAAAGATATAAATATATAAGTCAATGATATAAACAGAATTTTCGATACAGATACAGACTTATAGATAGATGTGTTGTCCCACCTCATCTGCTTTTGTCTTTGATCTTCATATTGCACATCTTACCATGACTCATCCGTGCAGAATGAGCCAGCCGAAGCACCGGCTCGGAAAGGTAATCGGGGTCAGGAGACTGGAGTTGAGTTTTCAGGAAGTTGACGCAGGTCGTTAATCATGGAAATGATTTTTAAAGTGGCGAGGTCCAAAGGGAAAGCGGGGTTTGTAATATTTCCACAGATTGGAACAGTCGTGCACAAAAAGCGCGCGTGTGTGTGTGTAGGGGGGCCTTTTTACAGTAAGCCCAACCTTTTTTTTAAAACTTTTTCTTCCCCCAGGGTGCGGTATTCCTTGAAGGCATCACGGTGAAAGGCGTCACGCAGGTCACCACCCAACCCAAGTTAGGGGAGGTCCAAAGAATGTGTCAAGAGATGGCGGAGTGGGATAAGTAAGAATCTCTTTTTCCTGCCCTCCTCACACCCCTCTGGGAAACTGCGTGTGCGCGTGTGTGGGCGTTCTGTTTCGGAGTGACTCATTCGTCTCAACTCCTTTTTCTTTTTTAAGATCTATACTCTTTTCAGGCAGGGGACAGAGTCGGAAATAGATTTAATTCTATTTGGAAGAGGGATTCGGCTGCATCCCCCCTTAAAAAATGAGAGGGCAGAGTTGGTTCGGCAGCAGCGTCTCATCACAGCAGTGCTGAGTGCGATTGCCTCTACCTGCTGTCAATATAGTTTTTGTCACACCTTTGTGTGCCCCTAACTGCTCATACAGGGAAATCAAACTGTAGCGATGTGGAAATAATTTGCCACAAGGCAGTTTTTTGGGGGAAATGTTGGCTGTTTAGAACCTAAACGCACCACGGTACCCCTGGCAGCCATTGTTACAGCCCCGCTCCCACAGCGCCTTCCTTCTACGCCAAATGCCCGCCAGCTTTTTGTGATTCGTCTATTTTCGGTAGGTGTTTCTTTTTTCCGTTTCAGGGCTCCCGTCTGCGTGAATAAACGGTCCGGTGAAGGTTTCGCAGGTCAAACGAGAACGAAAGGGAAAAGTACACGCTGTGGGAATTGATTTTTACACAAACCCAAAGTAAACTTTAACCAGCATGGAGGCGATATTTAAAGAAAAACCCAGACAAAATATGGACGCAGTTATGCTGTTTTTCTTTTAACATATCGAGCACTGATCTGGGCAACAGATGGCCTTCAGATGTGACTGAGAATGACAGCATCTATATACGTTATACATAAAAAATCTGCTTTTCTCATGGTGATATCACTGTAGCACTGGGACATTGATTAGAAAAATCCCCATTGAACCGGTCATCCACCCTCAGAAGCTTTTGGGGCCTCTCGTGTTGTTTTTCCTGTCCTCAGCCCTTTTGTCTAGTACTGATGCACCCCGAAACTGTCATCGGAGTATTTCTGAGCAATAAAGCGCTCGGAGTTGCGCTGTCTGGGTTTACAGACTGACGGCGCAGTCCCCTGTGGTCGCCCTGTGCTGCCGACTGCCTTCTCAGGCACACAACCCCTTCAGTGTCACAACCCAGTCTGGCAGGTAGTCAATAATCCAGGAGACCGTTGAGGAATCTGTATCTATTTTCTGGATGCTCTCGCATAACAGCGACTGCATTAAAAACACAGAAGAAATAAAAGAACTCGCTCCTTTGTTGTCTGTGGAGCAGTGTAATGGTGGCATCATAACTCTGAGCCACAGGAGGATGAACCAACTGCAGTGGAGCTTGGCGATTTTGGTGTTTTAATGAAGGAAAAAATTGTTTAAAAAAAACACTGGTCAAAATGCATGCGATGTGTGTAACACATTTCTTTCATTCCGGTTGCAGGTCTGGATTTCCCGGTGCACAGCCCGTGTCCATGGACAGACAAAACATCCGCTTCCTTGAGCAGCACCCCTACAAAGTCAGCTGGAAAGCTGACGGCACACGGTAGGTTGACTGTCGATGGCCTCACAGCAGAAAACTGCTCTGAAGTATCTGTACAGGGGGCTTTGCGTCTCTTTCCTTTCCATTAAATCACGTTCCTTTTGATTCCATACATAAATGTCGGCTTTATGTCCATGGAAACCGTCTGTCAGAGGCAGGTATTCACCAATCAGGGCACACATGTAATAAGGGCAAGACTGTGCAGTGTATTACTGTGTAACAGTGTTGCCTTATTTTGAAACCAGAAACACTCACAGAAAGATTTGTTGAAAAAATGAATAATGGAAATTTAGCAGCATAACTAATAGGATGATACAGGGTGCTCTAAGTCAGCCTTAGCTAAATGCTTTTTTTAAAATAAAGATTTACAAATAATCATAGCTACTCAGCTTTGAGAAACCCAACCTTTTCAAGCAGGTTTAGGGACTCTAAGCCTGGACTCTGGGGAGCTGAATTCCCTGGGTGGGTTGCATGGTAACATGAGGTCTTTAAGATATGATTGAGCTTGTTCATTAAAACATTTATGTGTAAAGGAATACTCCTATGACTTCTGTTCCCTATTAAGTTTTAATTACAGTATATTGGTAATCAGGCAGACTGCTTGGTGTGTCGCAGCCGAGATGTTCATAGTGGAATTGTAAAATGAACTTCACTGATGGATGAACACGGACTGAGAGTGGATGATTGCGTCCAGTCTGTCATCCATGAAAAATAACAAATGTAACAGGACACTTGTTCTTTCCCGTCACGTTTTTTTTCTCTGAATTCGTCTTTTTTCTTTTGTTTTATGTCTCTGGTGCTACAAGCTTGTTCAGTACCTGGTTTTAGTATTCAAGGTTTCTCGTGTAAAGCACCGTCTCTCTGGCTGGTGCACCTGTGCAGTGTGCTGATGAATATTTAATGACTGCAGTCAGTTTCGGAATTTACATATCGGTGCTTTAATTTCCGGTAAGAGTGAGACTGGGATAGGAAAGATCTGGCCCCTGACCAAGATGCCACTAATGGGTGTAATTAGTCCTTATCTGCAAATGCTTGAAAATGTCTGTAAAAGTTTTTTCTCCTCGATCTGAGCAGCAGTGCTGAGCTCTCACTCCCGCTCCCAGTTTTCCCCTCCAGCTACTAGTTTTGGAGAGCAGTGATGCGGTATGTGATTTCTTCAATCACGAAAGTCTGATACAGAAACGAGCTCGGTTTGCAGGGAGTGACTCATCACTCAAGCTCGGGATATGCTCCGTTCTGAAAAATACCCCCGAAAAACCCACACGCCGCATTCTGCTCAAACTCATACACAATAATACAAATCAGGGGTATCACCTCATCTGTCATTTGGGCATTAGGCATGAGAGTCTGCTGTAATGTGGGACTTCCATCTCAATTCCTGTTGATTTATGGGACCAGATTTGTTTTATGTTTTCACAGGTTAAAAAAAAAAAAGTTACTGTCTAGCGTTCAACTGTTTCATGCATGTAAAATGAGAAATGTGGAGAGTATAAGAATCGTAGGATTCGGATAAGAGAGGGAGTGCAGAGCAACCTCTGTCCAAAGGGGCACAAAGGAAAGCCAAGTATTCTTTAAATGGCTTGAAAAATGATGTATTAAGCAGCCTCGCGACTCTCTGTCTGTATTAATACATCATGAATTTAGAGTGTTTTGTTGTCTTTTGAAGAGATTTTGCATCTTATTCTGATGTGTTATGCTTTTTTATCTCATTCAGGCTGCTGTTTTAGAGCGTAATTTTGAAGTCAATATTCTACCATTTTGACCTAAAATCCACAACAGCAAACCAAAAATGTATTCGGATGCATCTGAAAGGATAACAAATGTCTTTTTCGTTATTTTTGGCAGCATCACAAAAGCCCCACCAACCCTCAATGAGGTAGCTAATCTCATTAGGTTTTGCTTTGGTTTGCTGCAGAGTTTTGCAAGTTAAAACAGGTAGAGCATTAAAATAGATGTAAACTCGACACCAAAGGGGCTTGTAGAGGAACCCATGTTGAATTATAGAAACATTTAATTCTGATGTGATTATATATTTAAAAAAGAAAGCAAACCAAAAAGAAACCAAACCAGCTAATTATTAGGTGCTTATAACACATGCTCATATGTAGCAAATTACTTAAAACCACGTTTTAACTATATTAATTCCAGCTAAAGTTCAATTCTTAAGCTGTAAAGTTTGTTTTCTTTTATTCAGACAGAAAACTTTCTTTGAGAGAGATTTGTTGAGGAATTGGGAAATTCATTATTTTGGCTATCTGTCGAGAGATGAAGGCAAATGTTATAAGAGCACCAATTCCAATATTTTCTGGGGCTATCTATTGCTAAAATCTCTGCCATGACAGAAGACGGGGGGGAAAAAACAGTCTGTAACGCGCGGAGAACGTGTAGTGTGGCATCAGATTGACCAGTCTAGATGTAGTGTGCGTGTTTGATGTGATTTATTGACCGCAGAGGAGCGGCGTGATTAGGATTTCTTCATTCTCATCATGCACGGCAAGGTTCTGCGCAGAGAATTGACTATTACACGTCTTCCTTTCTGCCCAGTGGCGTTTTTAGGACCCGAAATGGCTTTTTAATAGGAAGCATTTCTCGTCAAGGTGTTGGGGAGAGATTTTGTCCTCTGTGAGCGTTGCCAAAGGTTGTCGCAGAGAAAGGAGACTTTTCTTATTCCTCTCGCATTTTCTTTTTGACACCCGTTTGAGGACAGAAAGGCCCCCCCCTTCCTAGTAGATATAGTAGCAGTGGATAGTTTGTGGGAGAGGAGAGCAAACTCATTTTAAAAGCGGGACTTCTGTCGGCGGGGCTGTGCATCAACACACCCGACAGCTGAACTGCCCCGCTCCGTCGCACAATAACGAGCAAGATGATGACAAAGTGCCGAAGCCAAACTACTCACCTAAAGACATTATGCGGGGAGCTGCCATGCAGGGGGTATGAAACTGTCACCGTGTGCTATTTGCCAAGAGCCGGGTCCCTAATGGGCGTTTGAAAGGACAGCCAAACAAGTGGATTTGTCAGGAGGGCCGACGTGGACTGTGTCGGGTTTTTAATCGTGTTGTTTAAGAGTCTTCTGCCGGAGCTCGATTGGCCTGAGCCCCTGAGTAGAAAAGGAGCAGGATGAGGAGGAGGATGGAGAGGGGCCAGTTGTGTCCTTGGGAGTTTAGATAAACAGGGCTGCTTGACTAGATTAGAGGAACTCTCTCACCTCCCACTTTAGCCACGTCTCCAAACAAATGCTCCGTAATGTGTTACTAGCGTTTTAAGGAAGACTTGAGCAGGACGGCTGCTTTGCTTTTGCGCCGTTTCACAGCAATAATCGCTTGTGTCTTTTCACGCTTTTTTCTTGTTCATTTTGTTTGCGGTAGAGAACAGAACAGAACAACTGTGCCCTCCAGAGCTCACCTTCACTTAGAGAAGCGAGGGGCTTGTGGTTGGAATCTGTTCTGGACGGTTCTTGATTCATTACTGGAGATCCGTGTCTCTCGCTTTGCAGCCCATGACCACAGATTTGAAAACGGCAGGACTCAGACTTCAAGATAATTACCACAAGACTTCTTTTAAAGGGTCCGTGACCAACAGAAATTCCCCTTTTTTTTCATTGGCTTCTGGCCTGATTGGGCTAAGCACCTATTTTCCACCTTTCCATTTTCCCCTCAGTCACAATTCTTACCGCATTTCTGCTCAGAGTGACTGATTGATTGACCGATATGATCTTTGACAGGTCTAAGTGTTATTGTAGCTTAACAGTCTAGCCCTTTGGGGGTAAAAGCAATAATTGATAAGGTCTAATAAGGACTTCAGGGGAGATGAAGCTCGGCTCCATTTGTAAAAACAGCTTGTCTCGTGGATTGTGTGAAGTTTGATTGATTAACCAGAGTCACTCCCTTCACATATCACCCAAGTCATACAAATTTGGGATTTATCTGCAACTAGATGTTTTTCTATTCGAGTGTATAAAATATCTCAAATATTTCCAACTCGACCAAAACTGATGCAAAATGAGAATTTTAGTTTATTTAGGACTTTGTGATTTGGACTCAAGCTGATGAGACCCCTTTTATGCTGCACGGGAAAATCTACTGATTAAAAAGATTAGTGTCACATCCCATCTAATGTCCACCATCATACCCTTCTTAAGCATCTAAATTGTGGCCTGCTCAGTTTCTGAGAGGAATTTGGAACACCTCTCCTTGCAGGGTTATGCGTCACTCGCTGTCATTCATTTTTCTGTTTGTCAACCCTTTAAAGACAAATCCCAGTGCACATAACCAAGGTGTGATCCCTCAGATTAGTAAATCCTTCCGCTCGCCCTCTCTTACACGTACACCTGCAGTAGATTGGATATTTTCCTTGACATTCTTCGCCGTTTAGCTTTGGTGTCTGAGATCGGGGGGAAAAAATCATCTTGGCTTCTTTGTTTGAAAGAAAAAAAAAGAAAAAAAGAAAACACGTCACTAATGATGTGCAAAGCTGCTGGATGGGATCTAAGCCCTCCCCTGGAGCCGGGCTGCTGTCAGTCATGCCGCGGGACTGGACCTGGGGGAGCGGGGCGTTGGCTGTCCGTGCCTCATTAGGCCCGAAGAGCCTCGGGAACACGGCTCAGAGGCAAAAGATCATTTAAAAACCACAAAAAAAGCCCACGTTCACGGCGCCCATTAAGAAACGGGCGAAGGTGGAGCCACAGGCAGAGCGGGGCCTAGACTCATGTGCACAAAGGAGCACATTAGGTTTAATAATTCTCCATTTGTCCGGGGGGGGGGGGGGAAAGAATACGACGTCAGAGGGGAGAGGAAGAGACGAATCAGGTGGAACCGCGATGAAGAGGAGTACCACCGGGAGAAGCGGTGAACTAATGGCGTCTCTCTGCTTTCCTCTGAACACACTTGACAGCGTTAACCATGGCTAACCGTCCAATTAGACGGCAGAGGAACCTCTCCGGCCCGGCGCAGACCTGTTGTGCGGATGACAGATCCTCTCTGTTGTGGCATTCAGCCTATTGGT